AATCTCATTCTGATTCTGATTCTATTGGTGGTGTATTGGTAAGAATCTGGAGCCAAAACAGGAGTTATGATTCAGTATATTGCAATATATTCCGATACTGTAAGCAGGGCAATATTTTGTGCTTAAGGATTTTAGTAAAACACACCACCATATGCATAAAATCTGAGGAAAGAAAGAAAGAAAGAACACTGATCTAGTATTTGGGCATTTAAACACAGAAAATCATGTTTTTTGCATTGATTTAAATGGCCAGGATCATGTATAGCATATTTAATAGTTTATACCAACATTTTATACAAATTCCATAACTTTTTAGTGGATAAAACAGATTTTTTTAAAAAGGGAAAACCTATTTTCTGACATAAACACCACTGTATAAATGTAAATCCCAGTTAAAAAGGAGAGACAAAACTTTAAAATGTATCAACTAATGGTTTTCATCATGACAGATTTTAGGGTGTCCCTGTTGCCAGTGTCCATGAGAAAGAGTGACTTTAGCCCTGCTTGAAAACATACCAAATGGTGCAATCACATGGTCCTGATAGATACGTCATATGTCTACTGTTTCAATAATCGTCCAGAATCTAAAATAACTGTGATTATATTCTGTCTCAGAGTATTATAAACTTCTGTGCAGTGTTTTGGAATCTGATAAGCTTTCAAACTCATGGATCAGTAACTCAAACTGGACTTCCTGGACCTGGATTTTCAGTGTCTCATCCCCACCATGATCTTAATTCAGTTAACTGTTCAGTTATATTTTCTGTAAATTGTGTTTATTAAGCCTTATGTGCACTGCCAGCAATACAATTCTAGGAAGAAATACCAAATCCTTTGCTCACGTATTTATTGGCCTTAAGGTGTTAAAATTCAACAACATATAGAGTATAAAAATACTGGAATTCCCACCATGTGTACATTTTGAACTGTAGAATCTAAAAATCCTAACTTTTTCAAAATTCAAGATTCACAAAAACTAAAAAGATGGTACAAAATAACATTCCCCAAAAGGACAATCCAACTTTAAAGGATTGAGGCCCTTAAAATCTCTCATGGTAAGTAAGAATTGCAGTGTCCAGCAGTTTCCTAATGACGGATCATATTTATTCATGCTTGAGCAGACGTTTGTACCCTTAAGGTCAGGTCCCACTGAAGGGTCAATGACTGCCAGGCTTGTATTTCAAAACTTTACACCAGATAGAAAACCTTGATAGCAAGTTAAAAAAAAATAAAAAATTCTCTAATAAGTCAGTACAATTTAAATATCACAGTTACCTTTACAAATACTCTGAGAGAAAGATATAGAAATACAACACTCTGTTTGAGGAGGGAGAATATTGTGAAATAGTTCAGGCCACTGTTGTTTGCCTGTTGCATCACGGTGTGTTTGATTATCATAAGTAGAACAAAGTTTAACATCAGTCTTGTCATCATGACAGTGGAGGGTGTGTGTGTGTGTGGAGGTTTCTATCCCTCGATAGCCTTAAGAGAAGAATATACTGAGTACATACCAAAAGCAGAATCAACTTACTCAGTTATTTCTATTTATAGCATTAGTTCAACCTTATTTTACTAATTATTGACAGACGATTTTTTGCCCACTAGTGATTAATGGCAATATTTTATTGCAAAAGTATTAACCTTTTGAATGATGAAGATATTTTGTATCTAAAATCATATAAAATCATACAGTATAAAAAATACAAAATTAAGTATTTCACACATGGCATAATGAATTTAAATGCAAAATGGCAGTCTCACAAAGTAGATATTCAAATTGGCTTACAACCCCTGAAGCCCCGACAGCTCCTGAGCAGCCAAGTGTTACTAAACCTCTGTGTTCGGAAAGGAAGAGCAGACAGGGGCTCAGGACATTAAATACATCTCACATGCCATGTGACATTTAGTTAGCTCGCTCTACTGTTTCAGCAGAGAAAGTCAAAGGGCAAATAATGGCCTGAGAGATATAAATAGGAGGTCAAGACTGTTCTCAACTGGAAAGGCCAAGGGCAAATAAAGTTTAGACCTGAGCGCAATGCAAAGGAATGCATTTCATGGCCAACACAGAATCCCCACAGCAACATACTGTATCGAGAGTATGGAGAGTGGTGACCAGAAGCTACACTGTCACATGCAGGCGGAAACAGACTGTAAGTGCAAGAACTTTGGTACAATCCTTCATTTTAATGTAATAATAATACCCAGTAAGCACTGATTTGATGATTAACAGGACAACAGATGTCAGTTTATCAAAAACTATTACTGTGTTTTGAGGAGAGGTGAAAGAACTGTGGTAATTCAAACATTGTTAACCTGTCTGATCACAGTGAAACAACATTTGGAGAGCATCTGCCTTTATTCGGGGGCATTATGAAGGGTTGCATTCAAAAGTGTAAACCAAAGATTTATCAGTTAAGAAAAATATGTAATAGGAATATTATAATAATAATGTTTACATATACATGAGGAAAGTGAAAATGATAAAATGTTTTTCAAAGTAAAGTATATAAAAGGACAAGAAAATAAATCTCAGCACCTTTGACTCTATACGGTGACATTTTTCATTTAATTCTGACTAGACGTTTTATGAGAACCTACCTGAAACTTAATGAATAATAATATGCTACATTTTAAATTTAGATATGTTACATAAAATAACACAGCATTAGACAACTTCTTTAGAGATTTTCTTTTTTCATGATTAATTCTACTCTCCTTTACTTTAACGATACATTATAAATAAAAGTATAATTTTGTAACATTTAGGAGGATCTACTGTCAAAAATGGATTACAATATTTATAGGTATGTTTTCATTAGTGTATAATCAGCCATGTTTCTACAGTAGCCCAGAATGGACTAACAAAACACGGGCTCAAGTTAGTCACATTTTTCAAGAGTTTCGTGACCACTGTAGGTTCTCCTACGCTTTCCTACTAAATCCTACACACTGGGCCTTTAAAGCTTCTATGCATTGTATACATTTAAATGTTAATCAGAGTTAAGAGAATTTTGCAGAAATTCTCCACAATAACCAAAACATGTCACACATACAAAGGCACAACAAAAACAAAAACAATAAAAACCATTATCAGCTGTGCTTTATGACTACAGTGACCATCTCTTGCTGCCATCAGTGGTTAACTCCTGTGATGCACAGACTCACTGAGCTTCTGAAACACCTTTCTTGAAGTGGGCCTGATCAAGCTGCTGGCCACAAACAGGCAGAGGCTCTCAGCTCCTGGTGGAGGCTTTTCAAAACACACAGGTAAGCTTTGAACATGACAGTGGACTTCTAAAAGCTGAAATGATGAGGAACTGTTCCTTTTGGACCTTGAAAGTTACAGTAAAACTACACAATCATTTGGTCCAACCAGTAATAAGAGTTTTCATATATTACTGTTTTATGAATAATTGTGGCCCATCACTTTTTTGTCTCATTAGTATAGGTGAGCTTTGAATCCTTGATGGGACAACAGGTTTACGTGCAGGGTAGTATGGTCTCCACACAGTTGTAGGTCCAATCCTGTCTCTCATTGATAGGCAGGATGTGTTGGCACACCTAGAAAACAAGACACACTTTTTGTTAGTATCCAAAACAGTCATTTCATCCCATATCAATTATAGTATTGTTTTATTCAGAATGCACAATTTAGTTGTAGATTTTTAATGTATTTTAATGGAACATTTTCAAAGTCATGGTTTAGGATTTTCTTCTTGTCATAATAACAAAAATGGCATTCTCAGGAAGACTTCGTACCATCTTAGTCCTGGCTGGCACCTCAACAGCAAACACACTCATGCCTCGGCTGCTGCAGCAGTTCCTGCTCTGCTCATTGTTTACATGGACGGTCACTTTCTGGTTGGTCTGCAACACAAAGGGTATTGGCCACTTTCTTAATCAGCTTTCTTAACTTAAAACCACAGACTATAAAGAAATTCTATAGATACATAATCAGGACTCTATAGTCTAAAACAACAGCCTATTTTGCTTCTTATTCATAGAAATAGGGATTTATGGGCTTAAGCTAATCTAAGAAAATATACAGAAAATAATATATTCATATACCAAACTGTTGCTATGTTTGGACCCAGCTGTAGGTTCTGTGGGTACTGGATGTGTTTAAAAGAGAGCTCTACACCCCACTCATCACTGCTAGTGTCACTGTAGTTGAATTGTGAGACAATATAAGGTAAATATAAAACAAAAAAACACAAATCAACACTTTAGGTAAACTGGATACAAATTTAACCATTTCCCCTGTTCAGTAGTTCCTTTGTCACTAGGTCATTCCTGCTGAGTAGTTCCTGTTGCTATGAGAGTCAATACGATGGCTGCATATCAATTACAAACAGGGTGAATGGTGTCTGCGACCATACACTGTAGACGGAGTGTCTAATACAAACTCTGAAGATACAGTATAAAGACTTACTCACTATACAATACACTCTGATTATTTGTGCTTTTAGTAATGCTGCTTAACATCTAGAAAATAATGATAACTACTTCTGCAATTTCTTTCAGTGTTTTTCACTTTTTTGATGAAAAGCACATCATGAATTTATAAAAATAGATAATTCACTACCAGACTTCACTTCAAAACTGGACTATCATCCCCCTAGTGGCCATTTGGATGCATGGCAATCTGACTGAACTGCATCAGAAACATTCACTTGCTTCTTTGAAATTCTGTGTGCTTGCAAGTATAAAACTGTATTATGCCCAATGATATCTTAATTTCACAATTAAACTCAACCTGCGCATTCAGAAAATAACTTTGTCAAAGTTTGTCGTCTACCTTGTTGGCTATGAGGGAGGAGATCCTGTGTTCTCCTCTGTAAATGTAGATGAAGACGTTGTCTTGTCCCCTCAGTGCTTTGGCCCCTGTCCTGGCTGTGATGGACTTCTGGAGGCCCTGGTTCAGAAGCTTGGGGCCTGAGTCCATACTGATTGGCTGGATGGATGGCTGAGTGCCTTCACAGTGTACGTCTATCTGGAATGGACAAGCCTGACAGAGTGGGAGGCAGAGGACTTTGGTTAGGATTCAGGTTAGACATTGAAAGTCTGGATGTGTTTCTTTGTGTGTGTGTGTATTACAACCAGTGCTTTTGCTAATATCACACATTTGCACTTGGAGATTTTGGTCATGGAAATCATTGTGTCATGTGAGTTTAGTAGCTAGCTTTTGTAGAATGGCTTATTGATTGAAATGTATTTTCTCATCAAGTTTCCAATGTAAGCCCTTAATTACAGCATATTAGGACAATATCATTTCATGTCATATAAGAACTGATTGAACTCTGTGATTGTTTTAAGTGAGAGCAGATGTGTAAACTTACCTCTACGAGCTCCAGCATTCGGTTGTAGCCCATGGCTTCCAGGGTGACCCAAAGGTCAGCAGGGTCTCCTTCTTTCTCTGTGGCCTCCATCAGGTTCAGCTCCATGAAGCCCTGCCGTGTCAGCTGGTTCTTTCTCATATCAAAGTTTTCTGCACGCCCAACAAAGCAAATGAACAAATGAACAAATGAACAAATGAAAAGCCATAAGGAAGCCACCCCTGTACATTGTATTCTTTACATAAATGTAACACTGGTCATTGTGTGTATCAGTGCCATAATGAGAGTGATTACCCTTGCAGACAGCCCAGGCATCCTTTTCGCATTTCTCTCCACTGGTCCTCAGCTCAAAGAAATTGTACTCCTCTAAACTGAGCAAACCATTTCCATCCATGTCTATCACCTCAAATATGTCAGACAGCACCTCCCTGTGGTACAAAAAGAGCAACACAGAGAAATGTTAGTATGTCAGTCCATTACAGAGCTTAAACCGAGATAGCCTTAACTCATTAATCTCTCCAAATTTTCAACCATGTAACCATCCATTCAAGTGCTGTGGTGACTACAGAGCTGGATCCAAAAAACCCTAATGACGTTAATACACAATCTCAATGTTTGGTCATTAGCCAAAGTCAAACTTTGCTATGTTGTGTATTTTTATACTTCCAATGGTGGAATGAAGCAGACAAATACACATATAACATGCACACACTCACCTGAGCTCTCTAGTGAGGTCTAGTTCTCCAGTGTCAGTCCTGTAGACAAGCTCTACAGGTTGATTAGAAAGGCTCTTTTTGCTCTTTTTCTTTAGTTTGCAACCACTAGTGAAGGGAAGCAGGTAGTAAGTTCCAGCATTCAATTCTCCTTTCCAAACATACTTCTGTAGGAACAAAGCATAGCAAAGAAAGTGAAAAACACTGAGCATATCCCAGAATGTAGCACAAACACGTTTCAACTTCATAGTATCAGAAATAGCAACTAGCTTTGGCCTGACAGAATTCCAGTACACCGAGAAACATTTTTGGGGTAAATATTTCACACAAAACTTATTTTTGTATCAACACACAAACTCTTAAATTAAGTATCAGTGGGAATGATTTTAAAACAAATAGTACATCCCTCTTCACACACAAACATACTTCTTTGTCTTTTGACTCTGTGAAACACACTAATTGTGAGTCCTCTTTGGTTTCACCAGCTGACATGACAAAAAGGGCCGTGTCCACTGTCATCCATGAAGAAGGCTTGTCTGAAAAATAACACAAGATGGCAGACATTTTAATAGATTATTATATATAAAATGTTTGTGGACAAACTTCGACTTTTACTTTTATCTTTACTAGAACACATACAGCGGACTACATCAACCACTATCTGCTATTGTGTGCTTCAATTTTATGAACTGAACTGCACCCACTTCATAAATTATCGTGCACTGAGCTGGAACACAATCTAGCACGATTCCTACCACATCTGACCTGCTGCCCCACAAAGAATACAGTGCAGGGGCCAATAAAGGGCTTCAGTGTGTTCTTTTTGTTTATCAGTCATTATCTGAAAATGACTGGGGCGATACTTTATTTATGTTACAATGTCACTGAAAACATCTTTAAAATTGTGCAACTGTATGCCACTAAAAACCGTGGTGAAGCAATGGGGCAGGAAGCAGTCCAGTCAGAAATTGAAATATGGGACTTTGAAGTAATGAATCCTGAGGGGCTCAGGTCCAAATCCAGAATGCTTGAGAAAACTACTGTATTCCTACCAGCTCCAGAGGTGCTGTCCTGTTCCTGACCCTAATTTCTGACCTCCATAAACAGGGGAGCAAGGAAAAATATAACATCCCTATGGGAAATCGGGTTAATTTAACCATTTTTATGATTTTGATTTATGTGTAATATAAAAAAGAAAAAGTGCCAGTACCAGGTCTGTGGCTGAGGCTGAGTGGTTGGATGGTTAGGTAGACGTTGGTTGTCTGGGGGATGTGGAACTGGTACTGCAGAGAACTGACACTTCCATCGTCCTCCAAGAAGAAACAGCCCTTCACATAACTGTGATGCCAATCCTGGAACAATGGATAACATTTCTGCTTAACGACAGTCCCAGCACATTTACAGTACATCATGTTATGTGTATCCTATTATATTTTGTTATGTGTGGTCTCTGTTTAGAATCTGACACAGTCTAAACAAACTGTTTTGCTGCTTGACAACAAAATGCATTTATTCATTCAACAGAAACCAAAACTAATTTGCAGTTCCTATTAAAAGGGGGATTGATCTTGTGACAGTATATTTTGCCATGAAAAAGTGAATTAAGCAGTCAATCATAACAGTGAGGTTGCTCGCTTGATTAACAGAAACTGCCGTCGTGATAATTACCACTCCAACCTTCAGGGGGCACATTCATTATTACACAGTTTATGTGAGCTTAGCAGCAAACACTTGTTATACTCGTACGGATCCAGAGGAGGGCAGAAGTGTTACACTGTGTTTCTGCTGAAGTAAATCTCCCTCTAGGACCTGATATGGCAAATTGGAGTCCATTTAACTTTGATAAATACAGCCTTTTCAATCTTGGGCCAGCGGTCATTCAAAACTATCAAGAGGCTACTTTGGCAATATTTATGAATCCTAATATTTCTCTCATTTTGAAATCCTGTTGTTCCTTTGTCTGGCAGCACAACTGAAATTAGGTAATAATTTGAAATTGAACAGGAACATCAAAACAAGGAAGTTTTCCTTCCACTCATTGGAGACACATTAAATGAAAACACAGTTGGTGTGGACACACAGTAAGAGGACACTGAGGGCCGGGCAAGTCTGGAATAGGCTATATATCCTTTTAGTGGACAAATAAATCACCAAGTTAAACAAAGAAAGTACCATAAAGACGGAGCATGTCACTCCTTTAGAGAAAAGCCATTTTCTCAAAGTATTTATCTTGGGCTGTGAGAGGCATAAAAGATCAAACCATAACACTTCAGTGGTTTGTCCAGACAATATTAAATAAGGGAAATTGCCATGGGCACCCATCCACTGCTTAAAGACATCAGAATTAATGCCCCCACAGAGAGAGGGTCAGCCTGCAGACTAATACAGGCGCTGTCACCTGCTCCGGCCACAGGTCTGATTTACTGCTACGTGCAGACTCGCAGGACACCAAACCAGCCACAAACACAATCACACACACACACACATTTAAATCCTGGCCTTTAACTTATCTAATAATTCTAACCTATACGTGAAAAAAAAACGAGAAAAATGAATATTCCTCACTGGTTATGTTCGTGGTGACACATTTGCATCCTACAAGGCACACAAACATGCACACATACCCACTGCTACAAAAACACAGCCTTCCCTCCACCCACCCCCTCCCAATTATCAGCCTGTGGCAATATAGCAGCCAATATAGCGAGCAGAACTTCCCTCAGAGGTAATCTCTGGACACACATTCTTTTACCTCCATGATGTCTGGCCCTTTCCAATCTCAACACAGTGCTTGGGCCTGAGAGATGGAGCAGGGGGCTGTTATTTTTATTTATTTATTTCTCTTGCTGTAAAGCAAACCAGCCGAGGTTAAGCCAAAAAGAGTGAAAACAAAGAGCGTGAGATCAATACAGTGTATATCTATCCACCCTGGGCTAAATTCGCCCATCAAAAACACTGGGTTACAGTGACACTGGGAGCGCAGTGGGGCTGCACGGTTCTTGATATCACCGGAGCCCACATACAAAGATTTTGGCACAAATATACTGATGTAATGGATGAGTAATTACAATAAATTACTGTATTAAAGTACAATTTACTCTCCTCAAATCCAGTTTAGAAATATTACATAAACAGATTGGGATTAAAAACTGAATTATTATTCAACAACTCTGCTTATGTTATTAGTTTGTTTAGTAAAAGAAACCTTCATGGGTTTCTGAAAAACTTGAGCTCAGAAATATAAAAAATAAATAAGCTCCATATCAATACACCTGTTATTCTTTGCTGTTTTTATCTGTTTCTTATCATCGTAAGTTCAATATATTTGGGTTTTGGAGTGCTGATCAAAAAATTCTCAGAACTTGTGATGGGCATTTTTTCCTAATCGGAAAAATAATAGACAGATGAATCGATGATGAAGATAATCATTAGTTGCAGCTCTGAAGTCAATCATGACTTGAGAGGGGGTTACCTGTAAGCCTGAGGGCTCTTGTATTTTGCTGGTCTTAGTGCTGCTGGATGTCATAGTGATTGGGTTGGACAGGGACGACCGTCTGCTGCGAGCAGAAGAAGGACGGGAGGATGATCGACTGTCTGAGACACACAAACACACGCATACCAGACACACACATAAAAACTCACACATAGATAAAGGCTAACACACTGATACATCCACAATTATTCTAAATTAATCAAGTCATAACATTGCTGCAACAGAAAAAAAAGTTCAATTGACTGATTGAGTACAGCCCTCCCGTCCCCAAACAGTAAACACACTTTCAAAAGAGAGATGAGGTGCACAACATAATTGACACTATAATCTGTCTTCTCAGAAGTCCATTCCCGAGTTTAAGTGAAGGTGGCTGCTTTGCATTTGGGTTCTGAGAAAGTGTGATCTCAAGTTCAGCTTTCTTTTAATTAATTATTGAGGCCTTTTAAATCACAAATGGCATAACGGCAACCTCTCAAATCCATTATCTCGCACAACTTTTTTGCTTGAACACTAATTGAAGCCAGAAAATATCAATTCACTAATGAGGGGTCTGATTGTTTCCAAGCTCGGGAAATCAAGATGCGAAGTAATGTGATAGGCTTACAAGCAAATTACCGTAGCAGAGAAATAAATAGACCCGCTGTCCTGGTATTTGTCATGGATCTATTTTGTATTGATGGCAGTATTTTAATCTAGAGGACCAAAATGTAGCTGTTGTGTGAATGTGGACAAAGATGCACTGAAACGTGGCCTAACAAAAGCTTCAGTGTGAGTTTATACTGAATGTGAGTTGATAGGCGGTGTTGTTTCAGCACTAGTGGTTTCCTGCTGCTGGAAAAGTGTGAGAATTGACCTAAATAGACCAATTATCAGAGAAACACCATGGCAGATTATCAATTGGCCTAACTGTTTGCCAAAACATTTTAGACACAAATACCTGATACATTATAAATCAGTATCTCATCAATTATTTGTAAAATAATTAGTCAAAATGACCCTGTCCCATACAGTTATATCATATTTCTCAGGGTAGTAATGGTTTATACTGACAAATGCCAGACCAAATGAGAAGTCAAAACTGTTTTTGAGCTCCAAGAATAACCCATTCAATATGTGCGAGCACGTTGCATCTCGTGCCAGAGTCTTGTTAAAATGTAGCGGGTATAAATCAATATGTGGGAGAGGCACAATAATGTGATAATCCAGACAACTATGTGGGAGCTCATTTGTTTTTGCAGTGGTGGTCGACGGGGCCCTCCTCTCGACCACCGTCTAATCCCTCATCATCTCCCCAGTGAGAAGTGGTGGAATCCTCCGAATCAATAACACGAACATGGACTGACCACTTAAATCAACCCCATCTATCTTCCCACTGTGGGCCTGTCCCTGGCTCGCTCATCCAGGATCTCTGTTCTTCTCTTTCCTCGAAATGCTGGTTTTAAAGTGCAAAAAGTGGATTTTTACATCCAACTGGCTGAAGGTGCTGTCTTTTACAGAAAAGAACTCTGTTGGTTTATTATCAGTGGCTGCAGAAGAGTGAAGCTGGACATGAGGCCAGTCTTTGTTTGTTGAAGCTATGAAAATATATATTTCTAACTGCAAAACCATAGTTGAAAGGCAGCATTTTTCATCAGTGTAGATGGAGCGTTTGTCAATCTCCTAATGGCAGAAATGATTACCCAAATCACAACGCTTTACAGTCTCCTCCCTCCAAACAAGCTGCCCTAATTGTGTGGCTATTATGATGTATGGCCTGTCTTAATGAGGTGATTTGTCACAGAGGGAGTGAAAAATCGATCAATAACAGAGCTATTATTTATTCATCAAAACTAATCGGTGAGGCGTATTGGGGCAAGCATTGTGTATGGGTGTGCAACTATAAATTGGAATCTGAAGTGTACTTCATGTGCAGTCGGCATGGGCTGCTACTTTGAACTTGTAGATTGCGCTGCACAAATTGCTATTATGTTCTGGAGTAATGCACCAATAAGATATTAGCCTTTCCATGTAAAAATAAAGTTATCAGTATATATTTTATCTGGTCACTGAGTATAGAAGTGACTGGTGATGCAAACAGAGTTTTTAAAAACATACAATGCATAAATTCTGGGTGCTTTGTTGTCCTTGTTCATTCCTGTTTTAATCAGATTCAGAGTTTAAGACATTGATGTTTAAACCTGAATTCTATAAGATATACTGTAGTTGGGTATAAGCATGAGTCAATTTTATGTTTTGTGTGAAAGTGTTTTGTGTGGGACAAAGAGTACTTCTGAGGGAGAAAAATGAGAGCAAAAACAGTAAACATTTTTCCTTAACATCTTCTTATTCTGAGATGTCACATGTTGTACCTTTCTTGAGTGTCGTGTCAGAGTCTGCCCGGGGTGTTTCCGGAGGCTGAGGGAGAGTCGCTGTCGCTTGTGCTGCCGATGATGACGCTGATGACACGGAGCTCTTCTGAGGGCTGTATGACTGACTGCCAAAGTTCTGTCTCTTCAGCTTGGCATTTGCCTCAAGCCTCTCCAAAACAGCCATCTCACACTGCTCTACTGTAGACACAAGCAATCTGCAGAACTGACAGCAACGGGAAACCAGTAGTAAGGGGATGATACAAGAGGATGTTCTGAGGCCAGAGAGAGGTTGTGTGTTTATATCTTGGGTGGAGGTAAGCATATGATACTAAATAAAGACCTTTCTGTGACACTTTACATCCCTGAGACTTAAGAAAATGTGTTTTTATCCTTTACCGTGGTGCAATGGGACTTGTTCAAAGCAATTATTTGTAGCATGTAGTAAAATACGTGCAATTCAATCCCATTGTTGATATAATTTTACCATTTCTAAAAGTTTTTCTCTCGCTTGGGATGGTAGCTTTGTTCTGATGCTACACTGGTGCACTGATCATCTTAAACTGATCAATAACTGATTCACAAAGATGGGACTAATGTATTTAAAATGCACCTTTTTCTTGGACACATGAGATGACCTGACAAGTGTTGTATATACAGCAAAAAGGCAACAGGATCAGTAAGAACAGAAGTCACTTTATTTATACTTGTGTAAACTTACTTCTGCATAGTCCAGTTTGCCGTCTTTGTTGATGTCAAGTAATGAGAAAATAGCATTGACCTCTTCAGTGGTCATTTTCTCTCCTTTCTGGAAGATTCAACACATAGTCATTAGTAGTAGCTGATCAGTTATTTTAATTATTTTATGTTAAGGCATTACAGGTGCGCTGACGATCATTCACTTCACCCAAAATTAACAATTGTAGCCAAAACCTAAACACGAATCCAAAACAATAAATATACAGTTTGCTGCAGATCTGGCTAATATAAAATGTTTCAGACTACTCACAGTGGTTAGGGCTTTCTCCAGTTCGCTGTGTGAGATGTAGCCATCACCATTCACATCCATCTTTTTGAAGGCTCTCATCAACTCCGTTTCCTCTGTTTTCTTCTCACACTTGAGAATCTCACAGAAATCATCAAAGTTCAGTTTGGATGTTCTCGGGCTCCAGTATTTGTTGAGAGTTGCTTGGGATGGATTTCTACCAGCCTGCTGGAGAACTGAACAGGACGAATGGGAAAGAGGAACATTGAATCTACAAGTAGTAAAGGCTGATAATGCACTTCTCCCCTTTTAAGATAAGATAAGAAAACCTTTATTTGCTCCCGACAATGGGGAAATTGCAGTTTGCAACAGCATACATTAAGGACAGAATAAAAAATAACAAGCAAAGAGTAGCTTGTAAAACATAAATAATGAAAAAGAATAGCATTGCAATTATTATTATTATTATTATTATTTCCCTTAAGTAACTTTAGAGGTTGAATAATAGTCTCATCTTAAGACGTCATGTTGTCAAATAGAAATGTGTTAAATATCTTGTTTTTAAAAACCTTGGAACTACCACTACATGCTCTGTATTTCTGAGCAATGTTAAATCAAAGTTCAGCTGCACAACAGTGGCTGGTAATGACTGAATTCACACTTTCCTCTCTCTTTTTGGGCACGTAAATTCATTTTTACAATAACAAGAGACTAAAGTCTAATGTACATAATGTCTCAAATGTATGGTACAGCAACAATTGAGTTTTACGTTAGCTTACCACGACATAACTGCTGTTTCGAAGAGATATTGCTCAAACTGGATTTGAACACAGCAAGGTATGCGGCTCTGCACTGCATGTAGAAAGCCTCCTCTTCATCAGAAGGACGAGGTGACTCTTGAAGAGACATCTTTGGAGGAAGACACCGACCTGTTTGCCGTTAGCTAGCACCGCCCCGCTCAGAAAACCAAACGACAGCCAGATAGAGCAGCTGACTTTGGGGTTAAACTCTTTTGTTTGTAGTGTTTTATCTCACCGTAACAATCACCTGAACGCCACATGCGTGTTACTGTACTGGCGTTGGCTGTGACGTTTGTCAAACACCGTTGCTAGCTGCAGTCTGTTGCTAGGGGAACAAAAAGTTGCCGGTGTTCGCCAAAAGCGACCCTGAAGAAAACAAACGTTAACGTGTCCCGTTGTTGTTGGGCCGTATTGGACTTCTCAGTGGTTAAAATAAATCAATAAAAGCGATGTTTAGAATGTAGATAAGGATTTTTGTCGAATTCAGGCTGTTTGTTACGTTGTTCCGAGTCGTTTTTGCAACAAGGTGACATCCGGTACTATATACGACAGGTTTACACGGACTGTTTGAGTGTAGCAACGGCGCCAGTTTCATAAATTTGTGACAAACAAACTTCTGCTGAACCAGCTCTAAAATGCCGTGAGTATTTTTTACTATTTCTCTCTTTATCTGCAGTATTTATTACTACATTGAAGCGTATGGTAACCTTACTTAGAATAGACTTCAGAAATACTCAGCGTTACTTTATAGTGTTACACAATCTTTGTAAAATGATGTTACAGTATTAGGTTGGTCTGTTTGTCAGCTTACTTTATTACACACTGATGAGTAATAACAATAATAACTGTATTTATATAGCACCTTTTAAAGGCAGAGTTTACAAAGTGCTTTGACAGACGAAGGCAAAATAATAGCCGTGACACACAACCACACCAAAATACAATAATAAGAGCAGAATAGAAGCCATAAAATGAGAAAATAAATTAATTAATTAAATAAAAAAGATAGATAAGTTATTTTTAAATAAAGCAATTCATTATAACTGTGTTTTTCTTAACAGTGTGAGGAGAACTCTGCACATGGACAATGGCCATCAAGTGAGTAATCAAACTGTCCTCATACCAAGAGTACTGACAATGTAATCAATTCACCGATCACCTGTAGATAATGTACCGCTTTCTCATTTCTGTGTAAAATAGATCTTTTTTACAGCAGCCATTTTGACATTAGAGACTTGAATGGCTCTGCTACACTAAATGTAACTGAACCTTAACAAGTATCTCCGGTAAAACGACTGCTGTGAAAAAGGTTTATAGTGTTTTTAAAAGTTTAAAGAGTGTGACTTTTAGCCGGGCTGTGCTTCAAATGTTAGTTGTTCCGTTTTCTGACAAATCTTGTCTTCTCTCCATCCTGAATAGCATCCAGTTTCCAAAATACCAGTACCCGCAAGAAACCACGCACCTTCAACTGGGACTGCAAGTTCTCAGGCGGGTGTGTTGACGTATGTCTTTGAGGAACCTGCAGAAGCATGAGCTACACACACAGAAGCAGACAGATTCATTCAGGCCAAAAATAATACTGGCATACTGGTCATTGTCAGAGCTGTGTCTCATGTCCAAATAGTCCATTTAGTCTGTTCAGCTTGGTTAATATGAACTCTTTTAACTGATCCCACACACTGTAAGTGTTGTTGTATTAGTTTTGTTTTCAGGTGTGGTGTAAAGGTTAGAGAAATGGGATTTTGACTGGACTGTCAGTGGTTCATTTCTTTGGACAGGGAGTTTATTATCTGGGCGGCAGGTTGACTGAACTCTTGACTCACAGTGTGGAACAGTCTATGTGTGACTGTGTGGCAGGGTGCGTTTGTTCTCAATGACCTTTTACTGTGTAAACGACAATTTAAAAAAAAAACTACTGACTCAATAATTATAGATTTGATTGTCCTATAGATTTACCCCCATTCACTTCCACTACTGTATTAAGATGACTGCCAAATTGTATTTCCAGCTGCCAGACAAATGACCTCAATCTACGAGCTCCATTCTCGGATCACTCTGTGAATATTCTGCAACTGCATTTTAGATTATAGAGCTGGGGTTGTCCTTCCTGACAAGGACATTCTTAAGGACTATTTGGACTATGACTTTAAATATAAGCCATGCTGTGTGTATTGTAGTCCTTGTGTGGTAAATAATACTGCCCCCCTGTCAGTCCACAAGGAAACAGTAACTTGTATATACGCCAGTGTACTCTAGATTGTGTTATTAAGGATGTGATGCTTAATCAACAGGTAAGACCAACGTCACAACACGTGAACAACACGTCCCACAGACGGAGTTGGAAAAGTGAGTAATTAAGTCAAAGCTTTTGCAAGCACTCGATCAATCACTTTTATATTGTAGGCTGCAAATTAAGTTTTCTTTTTTTTTTACTGCAAACTGTCAATACATAGAGAGCCAAAGTAGAGCACAGAGTTAAAGGGTTACAGAGAACTCCCTTTTATGAGTTGCAATATTTCAATTGCCACACTTTCCTGATGGTCATAATGACATATCAGAATTTAATGACAGGAGACACGGAATGACGGAGATCCATCACTGGCCAAATTATCAGTGATTTACATAGCACTAAAAATAGTTGTATAAGAGTCACTTAACACAAGAACCATTTCCTTAGTCAAGGCAGACATTTGGTGTCTGTCCCATCCATCAAGACAAGCATTAGTTTTTAATTTTATAGTGCTGTCACTAATACATTACATGAGCTCGGTTTACAGTACATTCATAACACTCACTTGGTTATGTCATATTAGGGTCATTTGGGGCACAGCAGTGTGTTAATTTATTTTAAATTTCAAAATCAATGTAATAGTATTGGTGGGGGTCTGGGTCTGGGATAGACACTAAATAGTTTATTGTATAGGTCTTGGATTGTATCTTATACACACCATTCTCTTGAATTATCCACGTGGTTTTCAATCTTCTTTAGGCTCATTCAGGCTCCACCAGTTACCTACTTTTAACCCACAAGCTACTGATCAGTATCCATATTTAATAGCCAATATAGACAAGTAGTATTAGTTAGGTAGTGCTTTTAAGAGACATGTTTTAATATTACAGCCAATCATTTATTTAAATGAATCAGAATTATAATATGAAGAGGGTTACCATTGTTACCTCACTCTCTTTTGCGTTGACCAGACTGGATTCCACGCGATCTAAACTGGAACAATCAGTGGATGCATTCATCAAGGCCAGGAAAGAGCTGGAGGAAATATTCGTGAGAAAGACTTTTTCTTTTGGTCTTAAATCTTTACAATAGGCGGAAATGTCTCCGTCTCCATCACATCTTGAGATTGAGAGATGATGGTTTTTATTACACACTGAATATTCACTTCTGACATGGCTTTTCCTTTCAGACTACAACTTTTTTTTTTTTTATGTTCATTCATTTCTAATACAGTGAGCTATATTATCCCTTTTCCCCACTATCTCTTGTGTGTTGCTGGGGTTTTGGGGGTTTTCCGTTTATCTCCTTTATCCTGTATATTAATTAGTCAGCAGAGGGCAGCAGTGAACAAGGACGTTTCCTCACTGGATCTTCTGCTGACCTGAAGACTGAGCTAAAGAGACACAGAGAGCTGAGTAAGTACACAAATCAACAAAATGCTGTTGAATTTGACTTTATTTGAAAGTCAGTCTGAAAAAACTGGGGTTGAATGAGATTTATTTGCTGCATTATTCACTGACACAACTTGATGTGAAATACATGAAAAAAGTTACAATTTACGTTCTGTTTGCAGTTATTTATGGCATCAAAATGAAAGCACTAATTTTGGTTTAGGCTCTCTATTTGTTCCCACTTTTGAAATAATTGTGATGCCATTTGTGGCTTTTCAGCATTCAGAGTCGAGTCATCTTTGAAAGAAAAAGACCCCAAGCATCACAGTCAAGGTAATGTATCTGCTTATAAATGTAATAAACCCAACACAGTGTTAGAGTAAACAATCTTTTACTATTTAATGTTCATGTGCTATTATGCTTTAATGCCATCAAGATAAACACACCTACTTCGCATTACTGGGATATTATCAGAGGCTTTAGGCCAAGTGCCAAGTACAGTTCAACAATATCACAACATCTACTAAAGCTGACACAAACATTTAAAGATAAGTGTAGAAATGAAACACTTATTTATTAAGAGGATGTTAATTGAATGTTTTAACAGTTTGGGGATTTTGTAGTGGATCTATAGTGGACCTTAAATTATGTGCAGGATATAAGGCTGGTGTCCCTACGTTTTCACTTTTGTCAAGACTGTTGTTTGTTCAGATTATTTTCCAGTGACACCCTTAACTAAATGCCCCCATTTATACAGCTGTGAGTGTGACCTTATCTAGGTCTTTTAAAAGGCTGTAAGAAAACGTTTTTGTCCCAATTGTTTAGCTTATTTCAAGATGAGCAGAAAAACAAATGGTGTCACGAGGCTGTTTCATTCCTAAGGACATCCCCGTTCGCTACTACTTCACTATTTGATTTGCTTCTTCCTTGATCTTCTGTGCTGTTTAACATTAACAGCATCAATGGATGCTTGTTTCAGTTGTTCAGACAATCGTGTGCTCTGCGACCTTTGGAGAAAAACAACATTTTGTTATGGTTACACAAACAAGTCAGTGAGTGATTTCCTAGGGAAAGAATTAATTTGATTATTTTAGGCACATATTATGCCTGCAGCAGAGCAATTCTTGTGATCCAATCATACAATGGCGACTTGTGTAAAATTAATAGGGGGTATTGTCAGGAGGCGAGCTTGTTTTCCGATAAGGTTGTTAGAAATTATTTTAATTAGTTCCAGTAAGGGAGCTGAACATACATGATGCATTGTGGATCCACACCACAGGAATGTCACATTTTTGTCACATGGTGGATCCATGAAATTTATCAGTTTTGCATAAGCCTCCTTACAACAACAGACTTCACAATGTCAAGGCAGATAGCTATGGGAGAGAATTGGCCCTCTATGTGCATTGAGACACACATTTTAAGTAAACAAACTGTTATTCAAAGCTGCTGAAGAGTTCTGGCCTATATCTGCTGGGAGCATGAAATTCAGACAGATGATGTTGATGGTATCTTGAAGCATGATTCTGCTCTAGTGTAAAATGTTTGTTTAGATCCGCTGCTATGGCCTTGAGGCTTTTGGTCCATGTGCTGAATCCCTGTAGGATTATACAGTATGTGCTGGTTGTTCTCTTATCTTGACATTGTCAGTGGGAGTCATATACTTGTGAAAAATATTTATTTCTGAAAGTTATAAGAAGAAAAGTAGAAGGAAAAAGGGTTTGTCATAGCTGACGACAAAATGGCTATAGTATACTCGGATCAGCCATAACATTATGACCGCCGGGGAACCCTGGTGGTCATAATGTTATGGCTGATCTGTGTATATATTACTGTATATCTACTTAAACAAGTATTATTGTCTTTTTATGGGATATTGATATACACTGAAGCACTACTATATACTTGCTGAAAATGGATTTGACTAATTGTCCCGCCACATCAGTAGTGACTGATTTATAGATCATTGTAACTAACTGTTTTCCACTCATAGACTCAATACTCAATAAACTCAGAGTCAATTTTTTAAAATTAGATTGTTTTACCCTCGCCACACTTTACAGGAAAATCTGTGATGGAGGACTTAGAGTAAGTGGTCGGTAGTTAATTTACTTAACTTAGGAGCTATGCTGAAGTATCTTACAATGCTTTAAGGCAGTGTTTCTCAACTGGTCTCACCTTGGGAACCACATTTTCCCATGGCCATTAAGTCACAACCCACTTTTATAAAACTAAAACCATGCTAATGCCAATGATTCTTGGGCAAAGCACCCCATTACCTGAGACATGCACCTGAGCCATGCTGATATACACAGTATTTAAATAGATGTATAGACCATTCACATTCAAATCCAAATTTGTGCATACTAATATTGCTGGTGTAAAACTACATTATAATTTTGAGACTATCTCATGCACTCGTTTGCACAACCCGTCACCCGTCTAAACTAAAACCACAATTCTAAACTCTGTTGTCTGCTGTAAAGAAAATATGTTGAGAGTCCCAGTGCACACAATAGCAGCACATGACTGGGGCAAATATACAGACTATTCATAATGGATAATGGTAAAATGTAGTGTAGTGACAGTAGCACAAGTATAGGAGAGTCATAGTCAGCAAACTGATTCAGTGGTTTCAGTTTGTTACACAGAAAGTTTGCTAACATTAGCTACCATAAGCTATTAGTCATACCAGTCTGAGTAAGGCTGCAGCAGCAAAACAGCAGTGAATTAAAGTTAGTAAGGATGTGTTTTAGTGCTTAGACATTTGACTTTCCATTTTTAATAGGCAAAAATAGGAAAGTTATTTCATCTTTCATTACATATACTCTCTTTGAAACACTGCAGATTGTGGAGCCTTGTATATCGTCTGCACTCTTTTATCTGTCTGATAAAACAAATCTTCCATGGCAGCCATTACACACCAGGTAGAGCCCTTTCTGCATGTTCAGACTGTGTACCCCAGGCTCTCCCCTCTCTGAAGTGCCGAGCCTCCCAACGCCTCCACCCAGACAAGGCAGCTGAGCAAATCCATGAGGACATTTAAACCTTGAAGGCCAATCCTCCAATTCCACTTCTCCTCCTATGTCTTCTTCTTTACCACTTTTTCCCCTCCTCCTCCCACCTTTTTTCTGCATTGTCATCCCCTTTTCCGCCTTACGCTGTGATAGTTAAAACTACTTCTTTCCTCAGAGTGAGAGTGCAGTGTTAAGAAGCGCTTACGACCGTCCTTTAAGGTTAACAAAAGTTTCAGTAAGCATTCTAAAGAAGTCACTCTTGGTGAGCAATCAGGCTTGGGGCGGGCATAAATCCTCTGGGTATAGTCGCGGCATTACAAATACCCGCAGCGTCTGTATGTGCTGATGACTACAAAATTGAAAAAGAAAGGCCCTAATAATTCTGAGGCAAGTTTCCCTCAGCAGTAGGTATTGATTATTTGTGTGTGGTGAGAGATTTGGAAAATTCAATTAAAGGAGTTGTGCAAAGGATTCATAAATTCAGCCCCTCCAACCCGTATCGAGACATGGTTATGTTCTAAATCAATGCTGCACTTCACAATATATTTTCTTAGGAACATAAAAATAAATAACATTTAAACAGTTCTGCTTACTACAGAAACAAATTTTATTTTCTCCGAAGCTTTTTAGTAACAGCCAAGTACTGACTTGTACGCATCTTCTGGGTGGTAACGTATTTTTATTGCTGTTTTTCCCATAAGAAAATCCTATATAATATGAATTTTGAGATGACAAAATGAGGGGAAAGGGGACGGCTCAGCAGTGTAAAAATTGATCAGGCCATAGATGGGGCCACGTTGGGGAAGATTTGTATGTCAGCAGTAATGGGCTGTATTAAAAAGAAGATTCCTTAAGATGTCATAAAAGTGATGGGGCCGCGTCGCAGGTCGTGGGCTGCCGGTCCAGGCAGCTCGCAGACTCTGGCACATCAATCCTAGCAGACCTCATGGACAGATGCCACCTACCCACTGGGAGTTTTATGCTTTCTGATTGAACACACGGTTGCAATTAAAGGGGGGGAGTTGTATATTAGGCTGTTTTGGTCCAAGTGAAGCCGGTAGCCTTCGATCGACACCGTGGGGTTGCAGAGTATGCAATCTTTTCAGGCGTGATTTCTGATTTAGTGAATGTCATTGCATTTCATCTTGGGGTGCAAAAAATATGCTGTTTCTTTGAAATATTAACATAGCAAGCAAATAGGTATTTATTTCATGACCAAATATAGTTGAGGGTTTAATGAAAACACTATCATTATCAAAGGATACGATTTTAAGATAATAATGGACTTTACATTCAGTTATTTCTCGTCCAGTTAAATATTTAGTTTAACTTCCCTGCCTTGAGTATCGCATAGATCATTGGATAGTATGCATTTCTTTTTTAAATAAACACTCTTATGCATCTAATAAATTGACTGAATGATTGACTTTCATAATTTCTCTTTTTAGGAATTGTGAAGATGGGTAGCTCCTACGAGTTTCTGAAGTCCATTATGGGCTGAGGTACGTTAATCCATTTCAACTCTAGTTTTTTAAATTTGAAATGAATTTTAGTTTAAAGACTGAAAGAAATCCACTTCCATACATCTTGGTTTATTAACAGATAGCATTGGTTTATGGAAAATATGCCTCCTGTTAACTCTCTTCTTTGTGAACATTCAATGTTGACAGTGACTGTGGTGTGTGTAATATCACTGGGTGCCAGTGGGGTTACAATCATGTTTTCCTCTCCCATATTCCCCAGGTTTTTGTTAGCGAGGCATCTCGGCTGTTGACAGCTAATGGAATTGCTCTTCACCTCATGTGCGTATGATCCCGCGGAGATAAAGCAGGAGATGAATGTGGAATCTGTACTGTCAGTCGTGAGGCGGAGATGTCTTTGAGGCCGTCATTCATTTGCAGGAGAGGCGTCTGAAACGGTGGGAGCGAATCCTCTGACGTGTTAGACCCTGTCTACCCGCCGGAGCCTCTGCCTGGCACCTGACAAATGTTGATTCTACATTAACCACAATGCTGCAACACTGTGCAAATAATGTTCTTTCAGATGGCAACCCTCATCCCCTTTATGGCTAAAACTATGCAATCCTCCCCACCTGTGCAGTTTAACACCTTTTTGAAAAGTAAAGGTGGGGGGGCAAACTGTCTTGCACAACACAGTAGTCTCTTTATTTGGTAGTGCCTGGGAAGGCCGAGGCCTCTCACTGCCCGAGTCGACCTAAGCAACAGCTGGTGTTCACAGCAACATTTCCTATTTCTGCCTAAGGTGGATCGTGTAACTCTCACTTTATCACCCTTAGAGGCCACGTGAAGGACAAAGCCAGCACGCCCATAAACAAAACTAATGTTTTGATACAAGCCCCTTTGGAGATTGATGGAAGGATCCGTGGTACTTTTAATGCCCCTTTACCACCCATGACACATCAAATAATCTTTTACCTACACCAATGGTTTTCACTCTAGGTCAGGATCTAAAACTATTAGCTATTCTACTACTACTTCTTGTAATGTGTATTTATAATCTAGGGGTCCCTTAGGGAGCGTGTTCTTCATCTTCTATTAACACAGAGTTTTTGCTTGGAGGGCTCAGTATCTGCTTATTGTGCCTGCCTCTAGTCCAAGGTTTAGAGCCACAGAGACTGGGGATATGCATCCTGGGTAACTTGTCAGGGACTAGGTGGTGACAGAAGACTTATTTTCACTGTGGCTTTGAAAAAGGCTTCTTTGGTGTGTAATTATTTAACTTCTTTTAAACACCAGAAGCACATGAACTGGATTTTTTTTTATCATACAGTTTTAGTTTAACGTAATCTGTCTCGAGTTACAACAGAGCAGTGTAAACACAGACTGACAATGCGGTTTGCTTCAGTGAGTATTATATTATATTGTTTTGCTATTAGTGTTCTGGCACTGGTAGTGTGATACTGAATATATTTTTGTCTGGTTTATATATAACCTGTATATCAATATACAAACATTATGTACTACATGTACTACAACTAATGCTTATTTCCTTAGCAATTTATCTTTTGCTTATTTTATTACTCTAGTAAATGTAATTAAATTGTGAAAACGTACAAGTTTCAAGATTCCAAAGTAGTGTCTTCAAATATCCATTTTTATCCAACCAACAGACAAAACCCACAAAATACTGACAATACAATGATAAATAATTCACATAGAAGCACAAAATCCTCACATCTGAGAAGCTTGAACTCAATGAACTTTGAGATTTTAGCTTGATAAATTACCATAAATAGATTATCAAAAGTGTTGTTTATTAATTTCCTGCAGCATTTGATCCTATCACAGGATCTTCCACAGCAGGCAGAGAAGTTGTCTTTTTATCTAAAGTTGTCTCTCTATCTTTTTATGGCTTATTAATTTGAATAAAGTAGACCAGAAATAATAGTTTTGTATGTGTTGATTTTTAATATTTTGCTCCAGCTGTGTTAGTTGTTTACCCTGTAACATAACAATAATTTACTAATAATATTAATTTACCATCTAATTTCTGACACAGGGAGGTGAATTCTAATTTTTCCTCACATCTTTCTAAATAAATTAGCATGGCTCTATATAAACGTGTAATAAAAGGGCAAATCAGCACCTTTTACACCACCTCTAATTGCCCCCTTGTGTTCATGTTCCATTGTAGTAACAGTTAACTCAGATCTTGGGCTCCTATTTGTCCCTGTGGCCCATTATTGGCTACCGGCCTGGAGCCTCAGATGCACAGGCAACCCTCACTGACCTGATAACATTTATAGTTGTAATGGATTTTTTTATGCCTGTCATTAACTCGCTCAGAGATTGGAGACAGAAATTGCTTGTACCTTTTTCTGTGGTATTTCAACTTTATAGCATTATGTTCAGATATGTCACCTTCCATCATCTCTTTTTAAGGCCTGTCCTGTCACTGATTTTGTTTTAAATGAACAGGTCTTTTGTGCAGGGCCCTTGTAGTATCTAGGACTTGTAATGAATATTTAATGATGTTGAGTAAAAGCTTTGAAAGATATAATTTCTGTCCAATTATTGGCTCTGTCTCTGCCAGACTGTTAGGGGTGATTTAGCGGACTACTTGGTAAATGTAGACAGTTTATATGAAGCTGCTCAAAATCTAATGATTTAACAATGTGGCAATAAAACCAATGTTCACTTTAGGTCACTGAGAAATTTTTATTTATTTTCACAAAAACTAAGTTTGTACAAAATAACTTCAAGAATGGATAAAAATATACAGTAGAAAACCGTGAAAAAAAACAACCCCTCAGATGAATAGATAATGACAACCTTTACTGCTACACCTGAGTCCAGTCGCATCAGGTATGCATTTTAATCACAATCCCTAGAAGGGGTACTGAGGGTGGATAAAACAACAGGAACACCTCACAACATCCTTAAGGCCACCACCACCACCACCTATAGCTTTAAACGTTACCACACAATTAAATCAATACCTCCCCCAACGGTCTAAACAATAACCGAACATTAAAACAGGTGTTCCTATTATTGTGGCCACCTCCTGCAGCTTGAGCATACCGGCACAGAGCTATCTAAAGTCAAGTGCGTAGGCTGCACACTGCTTACCTAGTTGTACTTGAGATTAGGTAGCAATAATGTGGTTTTAAGAGTAAAGTATCATTGGTCCAAGCAAAACATAATTCAAGAGAAGAGGTATTTTTCACATTAAGGAATTATGTAGTTTGGGAAAATGTACAGAAACAACAGATTTTCCTGAATTTACTTGGTCCAAACTAGAAAATATCACTACCCTTTAATTTCATTTGATGTCAGAGCTCATCTGAGTTTCCATTTTATAGTATAATGATTTTTCAGCCCACAGTATGTCTTAATAAGCATTTGTGTAGGGCTGCAACTAATTATTTTCATTATTGATTAATCTGCCAGTTAACTTCTCCATTACAGGTACTTCGTCTTTGAAAGTTCAGAAAACCGAAGCCCAAGGTGATAACATCAAATCTCTCGTTTTGTCCGAGCAACCATTTAAAACCCAAAGTTATTCAATTTGCTGTAATGGAAAACGAGGACAAGCAGAAAATTATATCTGAGAAGCTGGAACCATCCAATGTTTGCCGTATTTGCTTTAAATTTTACTTATATTAATTGCTTATCAAAATAGTTAATTTTCTCAGCTAATCAATTAATAATCATTGCAGCTGTACATTCATGCTATTTGCACTGGGGACACAATGGCACGAGTGAAAGCCTTCACGCACATTAGGAGCAGACATGCCCTACAATGTAACACCAGCTTTCCTGTAGCAAAATTAGGGCACATGTATTTCACTGCCTTTGGCACCATTCAGTTACTCTTCTTCTGGCTCTTTCTGCTGGGTGGCCCGCTGAACTGGACAATATTGAAATATAAAAATGTTCCCAAGAATTGCAGGAAAGCTGTAGTAGACACCAACACAGGAAACAAGTCAGGTAGATGTGGTGGAGGAACCAGAACTACACTCACGGCGCTCAGGCCAGCCATGGCTGCAACGCCAATGGAGAACTGTAACGTAGAAAGACAGTGGTTATGAAATGACTGAAATGAGAACAGGGGCTCAGATTATTTAGTAGGTTGAATTCATATTGAAATGCTAAAAGGCAAACCCAGGCTGAGGTGAAATAGCTGGGGGCAGGTGATACTTTAGAGCCGCATAAAAGGAGAGACGAAACATCTCATATTAGCTTGACAAAAAAAAAAATCTTAACTCAAGCTTGACTTACTAGCTTCATCTTGAGCTTTCAATCACATCTCACTGTCTTCATCAGAAATGGAGATTGCTCAGATTAATATTAACTATGTATATAGCACCTTTCAAACCTACCATTACCAAGAGCCTTATTAGCAAATAAGAATAACAAATAGCTATAAAGAAAAAATAATGGGTAAACTTACACATAAGAACAGATAAAATGGTAACATTAAGTATTTTTGAAAATATTTCTGACAAAAAAAACCCTGCGTACAAATTGAGCTGGGGAATTTTAGAAAGATGTGGTCGTTTGCCACGCAGGGAGGGTTATGTATAGCAAAAGATTCAGAATTTTTTGGAGTTTGACCGATTTTAGGGACTAAAATTTAGGATATCTCAGCTTCTGTAAACTGTGAAATACCCTTTAATGCAGACAACTCTGCTGTTTGATGAGTGAATTGATATTCCATACCAGAAACTGTCCCTCGTAAAACAATGAAAAGACTGGGCACCTCAGGCTCCGAACAAACCGTTAGCTTTTCCCTTAATTTTAAGTGTAACTATAATATCAAACCAATGAATGATTTAATTTGAAAAACCTCTTAAATCACATTGCATATTTATCACTGGATGACTTCATATTGCTCATTTGAGAGGTGCTATAAAGAAAGATTAGAGGCTTGCAGTATCACACTGCAGAATAGCCAATTTGAATTAAGGCCTACATAACTACTTTTTGCCTTGTTACAGAGTTGCAAACAGAACTGATGGTGAGAGTGAGATCATTCATGTGTCTATTTGGGCTTTATGACCCAGAGATAAGTCCGTGAGTAAGATGGAGGAAACACCTCATGCCCACACGCTCCCCTCCACCCCAAACCCATGAAACCTTATCGCCTTCATTGGGGCTCGCTATTTATGCTGCTTGTGTAAATAAATATATCTAGGCAAACCTGTGTTAATGACACGCGCTATAAAAAGACACCTCGTCTTAATCTCTGACACCCTACCGGTGCCCCTGTCGCTAAGGGGCTGGCAGCGCAGCCACTTCAGACGCTGTGGAAACTTAAATAAGTGATAAATAATTCTTTGGCTGGCAGCAGCTTTCATCCCTGGACAGCTTACACAGCTTACAGCGGCACATGATCTTTATTTATACAGTTGGGTATATCTTCTCACACGGTTGCAATTTAGGTCTAGTGCCACTTTCAAAGTACAGGCCACCTGGGATCATGAAATCAGCACCCTTCCTATTACAAATGCATCAGCTGTACATCCTCCTCCTGCCATCTACAAGACGTGAACTATTAACTTAATCAAGCAGTAATGTCACTAGCATTGTTCCCTGTTCACTGCCATATCAAAAGCAAAAGGACCCTTTAAACTTAAAGCTGTGTGTAGGATCGGAAAATTTGTGATTTTGGCGACTCCTAGTGGTAATATCAAAAAAGATACAGTGGTCGAGAGGAACTGACGCCACAACTGACCCTGTACAAATGAGCTGAATGGGCTGAAAGCAACACAGACTCTACCATTTTTTACTGCCATTGTCCCATGTCTCTAAGAAGAAAAGCTCATGGCATTAGAATAATTTGAAAGATGGTGTGATCAAATAGATACTCTAGACATAGTGGCTTTAAATTACTCCTATGAAGACATACAATACTGCCGTGCCGTGTTAATAGGTTTTAAGTAATCTGCATGACCTTTATTTTATTAGCAACCAATTAGAGCTGCAACCACAATGATAGACACTGCCTCCCATACACATCTCTGGGATTGCAGACCTCTGCAGCCTGACCTACAACTTCTAACTGATATAAATGCGCCATTTTATATTTATATATCTTTCTCATGCAGTAAGTCTTCTTGTTTTTTGTACTTTTTTCCATCAGTCAGACACAGCAGTACAACAAATGTCTGTTAATGCTGATTAACATAAATTTTGCTATTGAGTCCAGACATACTCAGCAAGGACTGAATTAAAAATTTGCTGGTCAAAAGATGTCTCTTGATAAAAAAAAAAACCTTAACCATAAACCATAAATATTTAAATGTGTAAAAGTTTTGACATGTAGGTATAACTACTGCTTCAACATCATTATATAGTATATTTCTAAGTCTGTAAGTAGTAGATCCTAGCAACATGTTCAACTGTACGTATGTATGTAACATTAACACCAGGACAACACTGACCTTCCATCTTGTAATACAGGCCAGGTCCAGTTTTGGTAGAAAGAACAGCATCTTGTGGTAGGCTCCCAGTCTCAGCTCTTCCTCTGAGCAGTGCTCCAGTGCAGACAGTAGATAGAGGCTGAAGAAGAGGAAGGCCAGCGAGGTCACAACATAGGGCACCAGCAGACCGTCCTTCAGAAACAGAGGCAGCATGCTGCACAGAGAGACAAGGACAACAACAATGGTGCATTTACAGTTTACAATTTTTATCTGGAGCAATGTACAATAACCCCAGAGTAAACAAGAATTGCTAAAGTCTTTTCCACTTTTTACGTGCAATATGCAGCTTGAGCTGTGATAAACAGTTGTATTGGAATACATAAACATATATATAGCATGACGGTGAATGTTAACACACTCATAATGGATTCTTATATACGTCCAAAATTACATCATTGCGGACAGGGCAACAGTAAACCACATAGCTTTTATCCAGCAGGCCTGCACAAGCAGTGTGTCCCCTGGGGAGAGATGGCTCTCACATTCATGCCAAGCTTATCTTAGTTTAGCAGAGGGGCATGGACTAGAACAACAGTTGACTCATAGTAAATCGCACATCACCCCAGCTTGGAAAAACCTTTCCACTCACAACAAACCACTCATTCTGATTTTTACTCCAACAAAAAAGCCCCATTCAGCAGATAAATGTTTAACAATTTGGAAATACATACTTGGTCAATTTAAACAAACTGGCTGCATTCTGTCCTCTTGAAATTGCTATGGTTGAGCATCCATTCAGCCAATTATGCTAACAAAAGATGTATTTTTTTTAAATGGCCGAATGTGTAGAGGATGCAAATAATGGGAGACTGACACTTAGACTGTACTGAGAAACGGCTACAGAATGACCTCCTGTCTCTGCACAACGCACACTTAGACTGCAGGCATGCAGACTATGCCATGTAATCCCCAGATATCCTTATACTAAACCACACACACAACAATTAGTGCTGCCGGAAGAATTTAACAACAGCTGGTGAAAGTTAGACACAGCATTTGCAGCACTACTTGTCTTTTCCACTCATGGTCCTCAGCTCAACCCATACCGTAGATCCATTTCGCTTTTTAGGATTATTGCTACGGTGTTTATCATTTGATAGTAAACACTGGTGGGACAGAAAGACAGGTGACATTGGACATTGCGGTTACGTGGTACATGCCGACGTAGCCACAGGTTCATTTTTTTCTTAAAGTGAGACGTAACTTTTGCTGAACAATGTTCACTGTGGCAACAAGGGACAAATATCAAATAAATTTGAGTTCTGCCTTGGTTGATTTTCCCTGATTGAAAATACAGTATGTTTGATTTGTTTTTCACTACTGGTGAAAGGTAACTGAGATAATGTTGCAGCATCGTTGGCATCATTTCTGCAGATAGCTGCATGGAAGCCTGTTGTTATTAAATAAATAGTTTAGCATTGTAGGAATTTATTTGCATCCGGTCGTTGATGTGACGTTGCCAGGCATCCAGCTGCCACTCCAGGAAGTGACTGTGCCCAGCCAAGAAATAGTTTAGCACATAACCCCCCCCCCCATCCCATAAAACTAACAAAACTTCATGCTTCAACATCATCTTCATTGTAGCCCAATACAGACAACCAAACACTGGCTCTAGACAGGGCCTCTCGTGTTTTTTGCGAGTTAGACGTAGTTTCGTCTACAAGCTTGGTATGGGAATGTGAGGCAAGGGGGTTGTAATCTGCAACTTCACTGCTGAATGCCCCTAAATCCTACACACTGGTCCTTTAATTTGTGAGCTGTGGACAGAGCAAGGATAGCAGTTTTCCCCGTTTCAAGTCTAAATCATAAGCTAAGCTAACCAGCTGCTGGTGTTAGCTTCACATTTATACAGATATGAAAGCGATAAGGGAATAGCATTTAGACTCTTACGTTTTTCCATATAGTCTTACCTGAATGTTGAGGTCAGCAGGAACCAAATAGCTACCAAGGGGAGGTCATTTAGCAGGAGGCAGACAGGCCTAGGAAAGATCAAAGTTTGAAATTCTCACTGTTAAACAAACTGTACAGTAAGTACCATTAAATAATATTTTACAGTAAGATGGGAAGTGAGGCCACGTTAGGTCAGAGCTGGATGTGAACTGATATCATGTGTGTATCATATTAAAGCAACTAACCCGATAGGACATCCACATGAATCGATTATTGACGGCCCCTCACAAGGCAGTCAAGTGTTCACATTGTACCACATTATTGTATATCAGTCTGCACTGGCGCGTATGGTACAATAAAACCTTCATCATTAATTTCAACATTAAAAGACCTGAAATTGATTCGCTAAGAAGTCACAGTGTTATGACTTCATGGCACATGTGTGTGACTGTGCACAAGGTCTGTTGTTAGTTGAACCTGGTTTCCTGCGTCACTGCTATCCAGTGCTGGTCGTACACTGTGCTCCAAGGGGGGCACTTTCCACCGGTCTCTGAGCCCATAATTACAGTCAGTGCTCTTTGGCGATCCTGTTACAGCCCAATAATTGATCCTGCGCAAACAACGCCCCGAGCTGCCGCCTGCCATTCTTTCCTAATCCCTGGACATGCATTACTGATTGATTCAGGGGGACAGGTGGGAGATATAACTCAATAGTTAATAAAGCAACAATCTACCCTAATCTAGATTAATAGATGAGCCCAGATCTAGGAACCAAATCCCTCACTGTCAAATCTATGTCAGACTTTTATACTCTACCTACAGCCGCCACAGCTTTATACACATGGATGTAAATGATAATGAATCAAACACGCATGCATGTCTTTATGCTCACATGTGAAAGTGCTGCATTTACTCTTTTAAATATGACCCAGCTATGAAAAACATCACAACACATATCATGACAATGGAAGCTGAGGGGGCTGCATTTGTGTCTGTGCGGCACAGAGCATGATGACAGAGGTGAATAACCTCTCAGTTAGCAAGTCTGTGCTTAAATAGATTGTTCCTCTGCAACTCTGGGAGTACAGCAGGAGGGTGATGTCACTTTTACAGTGCACACGTATTCATCTCATTAACAATCTGCAGGACAACTGAGATTTGAGGTTGGGAACAGAAGAATGGCTTCTTTTGTGGTCAGAAATTAAATCTATCCTCATGAATATTTGAGATATCACTACAAGATAGAAAAAGCACTATCGCTGCTGTCACATGGCGACAAAGTTAATGTTATTACCTCTGTACTTACAAGGCAGCCAAGAGGATGGACTTCTCGTGGACTTGATAGGAAAAGAGGAAAAACGCCAGAGCTGAATTAGCCTAAAAGTGACATTGAGATTATTAGTAAAACAGCTGCTAGTGTAATTGAACAAAAATACTAGATAGCATATGTTTTTAAAAAAGGCAGTGAAGGAAAAACCTGAATTAACAGAGGCATCAATAATGTAATTATTTGATAGTATTTTAGACGAGAAAGGGAAATGCAGAAAGTTCTCAAACAAATTAAAATGATTAAATTACTAATATTTGATTGGTTCTCTCTTTTTGACATTTTTTACTTTTTGGATGCCACTTACCAAGGCCAGTTTAAACTGCCAGAAGGTGGGTTTCATCAGAAGTTTGACTGAGGAAGGTAGGACTGCTAGAAGAGTGCAGGCAGTACTGGAAAACAATACAGATTATCAGATTATCTCACATCAAAAACAGTACAATTTCCAGATGAAAATCCCCAGTTGGAGATGAAGGAAAAAATAATTATACAGCAAAAGACATGTCGAGTATAAAATCAATTTCGAGTCAATATGAATAACTGCATTTGCACATAATTCCAGGCTTTCTGTTGGCTTCATGTGAAAACTGATAATGACCATTTAACTGAAACGCAGTCCACTATTTTACCAGGATGATAAAATGAACACAAACAACAAAGCCAGATTAGTATTTAGTCAGTGAAAGTAGATGATCTGATTTTGATGTTAAATGCAAACAATCAATATGTTGAACCAAAATCTAACTCTGGATCCATCTCAATGTTGTTTTAGACACAGCCTGCTCCGCAAACTAAGACCTCAGCTGTGTGGGAAATTACCAAATACAGGCCCCTTCGTAGGGTTAGCAGGCATTAGTTTAACCCTTCAATTGTCACCTGCTGGGGTAGGAGGCCCCGGAAGAGAGTGACTATGTGTCAGTGTGAATGTTCTGAGAGGTCAGGCAGTGGAATTGTTCAAGGTGTGAGGGCAACAATGTGTTTGTACTATGACACAGATAAAGACACACACAGATAGATGGAAATAATGATAGTGGTAGAGAGATAGCAGAGATAAAGGACCAGTAAGTGAGTATTAAGTGTGTATGAAAGCGAGTGTGTTACATGTAGGGCAGAGTTTTGCGGTCCGGAAGGACATGGATCACTTTTCACAGCTGATTCATTCTATGTACACAGTACACCCACACCAGAGCATTTAGCAATCCACGCCCTGTGCCAAAAAGACAAGAGTGTTTTTCATTTGTTTGAAATGCACTACAGTCAAAGAAGTCCAGCTTGATCCCCGGACTTAGCAGTCTGGCAGAAACGTGTCCATGCTGCGAACATAGGACCCCTAAATTTAGAGTGCTGGGTTATTTAAGCAGGCTCCACCATGACACAACTGTTGCATTGACTTTTTCTCACTGTGATTAGAGAGTGATCAGCTTTTGGTCAAAATAACTTATCCAAATACTTCCTGGGATGCTGTGTGGGGTACCGTACAGAGAAACCTCAAGTGCTTACTACGTTGTGTCCCCTGATAGCACGATTCATTTGTCTTTATAATATCACATCATCAAATAAAGCACATGATCCATAACATTTTTGAAAAGAAAATCAGGTCAATTTACTCTGCCTCCATTTCTGTATATGACGCGTTGCAATAGCACCTTGGGCAATTCAACTAATTGTCACCACATTTCCAAACACAGCTGTGTCTTCATGTTCCTCACAAGATGTTTCCTTAAGGGATAATCTTATTTCCACCCCACTGGATCACCGTCTTCATTCCCTTGGGCAAGCTCTGCTTTCCCAGGAAATTAGATGAGTGAAAGCAAGAGACAGGAGGGAGGGGATCAAAGAAAGAACGACAGAACGATACAGCAAAAATGAGAAGGAAAGGAGAAAAAAGTGAAAGCTTGTTAGAGAGACAGAGGGATTACCTGAGGTAGATCTGGGAGTCACTGGACAGAATGGATCTGATCTTTATCAGGATGTTCAAGCTGCACCATGTGTTGGCCACCTTATCCTGTCCACACACACACACACACACACACACCACTTGGTTAAATTAGTAATTATGTCAGATGAAAATACCACAACATTTTCAAATTCAATACATTGCCTGTGAAAGAAAAAAAATCCTCTTCCATTTTGAAGAGAAAGCAAATAATATTGCTGTAAGTAATTATTTCCTCACGGCATTCCCAAGGGACATTTATATGTAACCCTCCATCATAAATTCACTCCCCTGTCAGAAAAAGCATGGGACTTATTTGTAAACTTAGGCACACAAGGTCAAGTGTCAAACCAGAGTAGTTTCTGCATAACAAGCAGATACAGACCAACCACAGAGCACTGCTGAAAAATCTATAATTATATTAGGCTTTTATTGAATATATAAATTTTATTGAACATATTTGACTAAACTAATTTACTGAAAACTATGGCTACAACAAGCAATAATTTTCATGATCAATTAATCTGCCAGTTATTTCTTAATTCAATGATCAATAGTGAAAAATCACAATTTCCCAAAGTGACATTTAATGACTTGTTTTTTCTGATTAACAGTCCAAAACCTATAGATTTATGTGTTAATAATATGAAACAAAGAAAAGCAGCAAATCCTCACATTTGGGAAGTTTAATTAGTTAGAATTTCTGGCATTTTTGCTTGACAAAAAAAACTTGAATTAATAAATTATCAAAATAGATGGCAATTAATATCCAGCATAATTTTTCCTCTCATGTTAGACTGTAAGATTTTATATTGTTTTCATAAAAAACTAATAAAATCAGATCTTTAACATCTGTGAATGATATGAAAGATATGTTCCAACCTTACTACCAGCCTAAAAGTACTTGTGGTTTATAAGAGATGAGGAGGGCGTTGCTGTGAGATTCGGTTGATTTAAGTGCTTAAGCAGTTGTGCAGGGATCAGATGATATTGAGGTTCAAGCCGCCACTGTGCACTATGATATCACACAACACAGAGACAGCGTGCCTAGATCAGCTTTATGATTCCACGGTGAATGGTTTCAGTGTGTGGCCCTGTCTAGAAAAACTATTTCTGGCCTCCTCTCTCTCCTCTGTGCTACAGCTGCTCACATCACAGCTGTGTGGATCTTAATGGCAGCCTAGTCAGCAGCACTAGGCCGTCCAGTGTTGTGTTGTCTCAGCCCCTTCCCTCTCTCCCTTCTCTCTTTCCTCTCCGCCTCCCTGCTCCAAATAACCGCTACGGGAATGTTCCTGGATACCGCCTGAGGGGAACACATGAACGACGGGGGGCGGGGGGTTGCCCCATCATCAAATGTAAGGGGGCGAGAGCGGTGCGGCTCCTTCACCTATAAGCTAGCATGGAATTTCACAGGGAGAAGCATTTGGTGCCATTTTTGTGAGCAGGCAGCAACGTGAGACGCCAGAATGCAGCTCAGTGGGTAAACTTACAACTGCTCCCACCCAGAAGCTGCCAGGACCACCAGTCACCAGCCCTCTCCTTCCCCACCACCCCTTCTCACCCCTGTCCCCTTGTCCAAAGCTTCTGCTTACGTGCACAATTTCACAATTAGTTCAGGACGAGTCGCCCCGGCAGCCTCTCATGCTGTCGTCACAGGGGAGTATAGTGTCTCTCACACCCTGTGTATTATGTTTGCATCATTTCGTTGAACAAATACTGCCACAGCGCATGCTGCCATCTGCTCCCCTGGTAGAATTTTCAATTACTTCTCACATCCATGACACCTTGTGGTGGGTGCCACCTCAGGGAATGGGACAAGAGGGGGGGATACAGGGTTTCAGAAATGAGAGCTGCCTCTGAGCTGTCAGTCACACAGAAACACACACAGTTACCTATGCTTCTTCCATGACAGCTTTCAGCACTTTCAACTTAAGTCTTTGAAGTACTCTCTCCCTGTTAACTGTGGCTTTATTTTTAAATTAATATCATATTGCTATACCTCTCAGAGGCAATGACTGACTGACCGCAGCATTCAAATGTGTGTGCGCGCTATGACACAGTCTAACACTCTCATATTCTTTCCAAAGATGAAGTCGGTAGCAGTTGTCGGTTGTGCTCTGATACTCCTTTAAGTGTATCGTTGGCCCCACTCATCAGTCCATACGGCTAGAACATGGCTGCGCTATGAAGTGCTGAAACACCCAGGCCATAAATTAGTTAGATTTATCTATATCCTCTCACTGTACATCCTGAACTCCGACACCTCCCAGAGATAGAGTGAAACTGATCTCCTGACCTTTCACCATTTTATTCCACTGTTTTCTTTGATCCCGCAGGGTATCCGTTTCCCACTGGCTGAGCACTGAAGGGTGGAAGGGTGTTCACCACGCTGAGAGTATGGAACAGTGTGTGGGCCATGAGGAGAGCCACAAAGTTTGTGTATGACTTTCTGAAAAGCCTTGTGCTGTAAATTGATAAAATCCCCATGAAGAGAGGGCTTTAGCTTCTTAGAAAAGAACGTCACTTCCTAGAACATAGTGAATCTTCACTCATCCTGAACAAGTAGGCACAAACAAAAATTCCAACCAATAAAGCCATCACCAAGAAATCTTATAATATGAAACAGCCGTTCTCCCTCTATAACTGGATTATAATTTCGAACGATCCCTTGCTGTGTTGTGTCTTGCAACAACATCCTGTTCAACAGAAATTACATTAATTAATTAAGGGAAATAAAGATACCACTTCTTACTAATTTAATCCAGCCTGATACTTACACAACATACTGACATTAACAGGAGCCAATTAGTCACACACTGATTGATTGCAGGATCCAATGTTGTGTGTATTGCATGATCATATCCATGTTGACTATAAGCTGTAAGGGACTGTATGAAAATGATTGGGGTGAGGAGGGGGCTGGATCCCCAGTGCTGTTAATATAGTCTTTGTTGTTGTCTTAGAAAAAAACAGCCAAACCCTAAACCCAATACCTCAGAATGATAAATGTATGGCAAATATACGAATGGTGAAAATACAGGTATTTATAAATGAAGAGCCGATTAACAGTAATTACTACTGCAAATTGATTAAACCTGGAGTGAGAAAATGTTTTTTAATCCTCATCTCATCCTTTCCTCCTCCCACTTTAATCATTTATCTACAGTCCCTAACTTTGATGGGTGAGTTAAAATACTAAACACAGCACCAGGCAACATAAACCGGGTCAACATACACAGAACAGCATCTCTGTTGTCTTTTAACATAACAAAAGATGGCATTACATATATGATTATTAAAGCCATAACAAATCCCTTATTGAGTCGAAATGCCTAACCTTCTTCATTTTATGCTATTTATGGTATTTAGGACATTTGATGAATATAATTACAGTCACATTTATTCATGAATTTCTAAAAGCTCCCTGGGATACACATTCTTATGCATACCACCAGAAGGGATAGTGAGAAGGTTAACCATCTGTACCACCTCAAGGGCAAGGAAGGCTTCGACGCAAACTGGCACAGGAAATGTACATGTGACCTGTATAGATCATCCAATTTTCAGGCCATACTGGTCTTACATTAGTTAGCCTGTGTATTGAGCTTTTATTAATCTTCAGGAGATATTATCTTGTTTCTTTAAATTACATATTGGGATTGTGCGTGGAGAGCTGCTATTCTTAGATGCCTGCATGACAAGAGTACAAATGTGTTTTTGATAAGGCTGAGCCGCAAGATCATGATTCTCAGATGTGGTTTTCAGTCTGACTTTTCATTCAGAAAAACTCTACTGTACCTCAAACAGACCACGAGCCACGGGAAAGATCCTCCTGACCACCTGCAAGGCCTGACTGGGGTCAGACAGGAAGGGCAGCCAGCAGAGGGCAAAAGTCACCAACACAGTTGAAGCAATTCTCACCAAGAGGAAAAACCTACATGAAGAGGGTCACATGGAGAGAGACAGGCATCATGACTGGCTGCAAGAGGTACAGCTACACCACAAATAATAAAAATATGGCAATTCCTAACAAACTTTGGACATATTCTGTTACTGTAAAAAAAAAAAAACAATAAATACAAACATTGTTGGCATTAGCATGCAGTTTAAGTTAGTCTTTGTCTACTGGTATTCCTCAAACAATTAGTACAGACTGTCTGCAAGTCCTAAATTTGGGATTTGACCCTTGTGCAGAGGAATGCAGTGAAAGCCATGCATCAGCTGAAAGTCTTCAGTGTAGGTCAGGCTATCTTGTCAGCTGTAACTGTGAAGCTGCTGGTTAAGTTGCACACACAGCATAGCTGAGGAGTTTGGGCATGGCGAGAGTGTCATCTGGACATATCTTTCCCCCGGCCCTTCTAATCCAGCTCTCCATTTGCTACTAAATGCCCTTGGTACATTGTTACTAGATAAACAGACACTGGACACACTAGTAACAGCATCCAATCTGATTACCTCAGTCATTCTGTGGCTCTCCTGAGGACACCGCTCTCTTATAGACTGACATTACATATCTGCTTTGAGCACTCAGCTGACGCTTCTATCCTGAGTGACAAAACCATATAACCAAAACAATACGCGGTTGAATAGTCGGGACTTCACAGACACAAAAATAAATCCTCTTGATTTTGCTTGCCAGAACTATGGCGGAGGTTGCTTTATCGAGACACGAGTTGTGTTCTTAACTAACTGCAAGAAATAATATGTGGACGTCTTTTACTTTCCTTTCTTCCACGATGAATTGTTTGGTCACGCTGTATCATCAGTGCACTGTGGCTTGAACTTTGACTCTATACTATTGGTTGCTGACTATTTTGGAAATGTAGGAACTGAAGCCAAATACTGTTTATTACATGTTGCTCTGGATCAGTGATCCTTCACATGTGGTACTAGTACCCCAGGGGGTATTTCTACTGTTACAAGGGTGCATGGAAAGGTTGGAGACGAACTAAAATAATTTGAAAAAAATTATTTTAGGAGGTAAATAAAACATGAACAAAATTACAAATTGATCACAATTAAAAGTGTGCAAAAACTAAAACTAATAGATAAATGGTTTAAGCGTCCAGTATTTTCTGCCACTCCAAATAGTAGTATTATGACTACAAACTTGACCACTACTGAAAAAAAAAATTACATAACTATGTCTTGTATGGATTCACATATGGTGCAGATCAAAAAGGGTAATATTAAGGTTACTTGAGCCCATCTGCCTGTGCTGTGTGGGTGCATTAAACCCACTGCTGTAGATAACTGCATGCCTTAGCTAAATGTAAAGAAAAGAAATGTCAAGTGCAGAAGGAAGACAAGACAAACAGACTCACCCTCGCCCCATCGGGCCCAGTTTGATACACTTGCCCAGCAGGTAGCAGAAGAAGGGCAGAGCATGGTACAGCTCCATCTGTTTGTAGTTGAGAGCCAGACAAAAGGCCACGGAGCCCAACACATCCCAGCCCAGACCCAGAGCCAGAACCCCCCACAGGGCAAAGCCTAGACTCACTCCATTGTACCTAACATGGTTAAGGTCAATATTGTAATAAAAGTGTCTCCATTTATAAGATCAAGAGTTCTTTTAAGTGGAGATAAACAACTCTATTGCTGGTATGCAAGAAGTATCTTATAAACAGCAGCTGATCCGGGGTCAGATCATCTTCAACTCTTTCATTGTTGTGTGTAGTAGTGTTTGAATAATAGCTTCATACACTGGTGGAAAGAAGCATTCATTTTCTGTCTGTTTTTTAATAGTTTTCTCATTCTATCATAACATAACAGAATGGTACACTGTGTAAATGAAATAAGATAACTATCTCTCATGTCAGCTGCTGTTTCTATCTATTTACGATCTGATAGAGGAGCACATGATGTGCACATACATCTTGTTAATTATCTTGTTGCTGTAGGGGAGAAATGTCCAAGTATTAGCTTTTCAGGAACTATGAAAAATAAATCTATTTTCACATTAGAGTTTTGTTTCAATAATGCCATTTAGCAGCGCCATTTAGTGGTATATATCTAAAATAACAAACTTCCAGTTTTAAAGTTTACCCTTACACAACCATATTACAATTACAATCAATTCAAATCAATGTGCTACAAAGGCTGTGAGAAAATATACTTACTTAATATACTATTTACTTGATATACTACTCTATTAGGATTGGGCCTTTAAAGACAAGGCTGCAGCTTGCTGTTAAGTTCAGTATTTTACTTGAAGTCATCAAAGCAAATTACAATAATGATATCACAGTGAATAAATAGTAGAAATGCATCTTTACATAAAGGATACTGGAAATGCCCGTAGTCAATGAGGATTAGCCCTGGGTATAGAAGGAAGCAGAACAGAGTGGAAACCTGGAGACAAAGAAAATGAATAGGTTGCTGGAACATAAACATAATTAACACTTAACTACAGTCCACTGGTTATAAGTGTACAATAATGCATCAAAGGTTGTTATAAGTTATCTCATGTATCAGAAATGTGGACATTTGCTAAACTTTTGCAGACTTTGCTGTGTGAAAGAGAGATATAAACAATATAAGCTGCTTTCTTTATTCATTCATTCCTTCTCAGTAGTTGCTTATTCATACATGGAGTCATAAGGTGTGAACTGCCTGTCCAACCCTGCAATTAACAAAGGACAATGCATGCTGCCTTTTTACAGACAAAGCTGATATGTGTCTGTTGTAGCTGCTGATCTTGTAAAAACTGTTAAATAATTTAAGACACAGTCAAAATATTACAAAATATCCCTCTTAATTGATTGTACTGTTAATGTAATTATATTTGCTGTAATGTAGTAACTTCCTGGAAAATGTAATAACTTTAAATTATATTGCAATAATGACTTTATGATTCCCCAGTCTGGATGACCAGGGCTGTGCAATCAGCTTTAATAAGGGTGTGCTTCCAGACTAAGAGGAAAATGTGGCTCATTTGGGTCTTTAGTTGAAAAAACTATTATATGTTATGACATACTACGCATGTGGTACCTTTTTTTTAGAGGATCCATCAGTCAGGTATAAACAGTATAAAATCACAGCGGGGATGTAAATCAACAAATCTGCCACCAGGACTGAAACAGAACAAAGAACCATATTAGACCACATCAACTTTGTAAGCAAGTACATTACTTGTTATTCCAAGGTTTTGGTAGATTATAAAGTTTTTCCACTGTATTTTCTTGTGGTTACTGTACCTGTAGCTCTCATGAATAACTTGTGCGCTGGACTCTCATAACCTCTGGATTTGTGAAGCTCCACCCATTCAGGGTTTATCATCTTGGCTCTGCAGGAAATCATAGACGGCAGATTAAGAGAGAGGTTTGTTTTTAATGTTGTTTTCTAATCTAAAAAATCCTAATATGATAGAGGGGGCTGCTTTTGTATTACCTACTATCAGGGTATATAAAACAGAACACAAAAGTAAGGAGAATAGTAATGTATGCCATATTTAAGGACCATTGTGTAGGATTTAGTGGCATCTAGCAGTGAACTTTCAGATTACAACTAATAGAACACCATTGGCGTCTATGTATTTGACGACTTGGGAATGAGAACGGGCGGTGAAGTGTGTAGGAGAAACTACATTGGCTGCGAAACTCAAAATAAAGGCCCTATCTACAGCAAGTGTTTGGTTTGTCCGTCCTGGGCTACTGTAGAAACATGGCAGTTCAACATGGTGGACCCCATAGAAGAGGACCCGCTCCTTCTGTAGATAAAAACAGCTCATTCTAAAGGTAACAAAAACACAACAATTCTTATTTTGAGGTGATTACATGAAAACATGCTGATAATATTATATTCCAATAGATCCTCCTAAATATTACACAATAGACTTTGAAAACTCCTTGGGCTTGTTCTTTTCAATACACTAAAGCAGATACGTCATGTCAAATATAGTCTCTAAATAGTAAAAACTACTTACACGTATGCACAGATCAGGCTGTGGTAGGCAGTCAGAGGAGGGTAATCAAGACCCCAGTAGTTCAAGTCATTCTCAGTTGTGTTAAAGTACCTGGATGAGAACAAACGTTACATATACTTATTCTGAAACTGTGTGTAGACATGCTGGATTGTATAGTCTCATAGGTGCCTTGTACAAAAACATTACTTTTATACATGAAATACTGCAGTTTTGGGTTCAATTTAGTCACTTCTTCGCTGACTCGTTTCATCCCATACCTGTGGCAGCCTGTTGTGGCTGTGACTAACAGAATCTGGCCTGAGTAGTGTGTCTTTGAGTCTGACCATTACAATATTTCCCTATGATACGACAAGCCTTCGAGAACACACAATCACCGTTCATGTGCCTGAGCATGTATTTGTCACACTTGCTCCACTGAGTAAAATAAATGAAGCTGCAGACTGACCATTCCTGGACAGGGAGGTTGTAGGTCACTTCTTGCCAGTGCCTCTGGGCTTCGTAATCGCCAAACATGGGAGGTTTCCCCGCCCCTGGAGAATAATATTTCAGCTGTTAGTCTGGTGAATGGGGAAACTACATCAATGAATGACAGCCGGCAAACTACAACACAAAACACACACACACACACACACAGACATAGATGCTAACCACACGCACACTCAGTTATATATATATCAACAACCTTTCTTTTCAATAGGTTTATAGAAAATCCCCAGCAGTTAGTGTTATCTCTGCATGTACAACGTTAAGCTCACACATTCCTTACCGCAATATGACTTTAACGAAACACCCCATCTCACAACAACGCCGAGCAACACACAGATAGAGACGAGACTCCACGTTTGCATGACTTCGGACGGAAAATGAGCTAATTGAGGAGAAATACACTGAAATAAATAAAAATCAGTTCATTGAGCCGCTTTTTACACTCTGTTTACATTTCCTGTACACGTCATCCTTCAAGACTTCGTTGCGCGTTCTGATTGGTCACTGCACGCTGACGTAGGCGCAGAGAGCCATGAGGCGTTCAGGAACAACACCGGCGACCCAGCTGTCGTCGAGCAATCGCAGCACAGTTTAGGTGACAATCATTGAATCAAACGAGTTTTTACTGTAGCTGCAGCAGATAGATGAAGTTGTATCTGGTTCCTTTAAAGGTCTGGTTACATCTCGTGTCACTTTCACCGTTTTTTGTTGATAGTTGTAATATTTCCCAGCTGCGATGAATGTAACATCAGTTGAGACTAGATTTATGACAAATTGATGGACATTGTGCATTATTAAAGGTCTATTTGTCCACTAATATCTTAATAAGTTATAGATGATGATGAATTCAGAGGTCAGAACTTGAAGAAGCGTCTTTTATCTAGCGGCAAAAGAGCATTTTCAATAATATAGTAACAAATAGACTAAAAATATGTGGAACACAATGTATAGATTATTACATTTTGAGGGAAATCACCCTTTTTATGGTCGCCATAAGAAGTAAATTCCTTACTTATAATATCAGGGTCATTAAGCTGGTCCATTTCTGTATGGTCAGTTTAAATATAGGCCTGACAATTACTATCACTACATATAGGCAACATTTATAACATATATTTAAAAAATATATAAAAATATAAATAAACATTTGAGATATCCCAAAAACATTATCTAAAATAAGAATATTGAATTTTAACTATCAGTATAATAGAAGATGTTGGATCCAAAAAGATCTAGAGCCTAGGAACAACTAACTTGTAATGGAGTTTAGTTCAAAAAAGGAAACGTTTGCTCTAATTTAACTAATGCTCAGTATATGTTTATTTTGAGATTCTAAATCTGTCAAAACACATTTCAAAACATTTAAATCTGCATTTTGACTACGTGTGTGTCATCTGTTTTTTAAACTTTATGGTGACTTACCAACGGCGTAGCAACAAACACTACTATTATATCAACTTCAGTTGTCTCATGTGTAACTAGTTTATTGTAACCTTCTGTATACAGATGTGTGTATGGTTATACAATAACTCCCCTTTCCGTCCCTTCACAATGTACATCTCAGCCCAGGGACATATTCTCCTCTGTGACCTTTTCTTCTGTTGACACCATCATCTTTGTTCCCAAGGTGTTGGGATATGCTGGGTGAGACATGTTCCTTGTGGTTCTGGCATCAATTATGCATAAATAATAATAACCACGGACAACTGCTGATTTGCAATGACACTTTCATTACAACGGCAGCAGCCTATAACTCACCGGTACCCATTAGTTATTAATGTCTGGCCACGCCAGCTTTACTTTGTCATTTATTGCTTCATCTCTATGCCTTTTTAAATATTCAGTAACTGCTGTACCTACATTTACTGTCTGTGATCTCCGCCCAGGAGAAGGCTATAGCTTGTGGTGGAAGATGACCTAGTTATTATGGAGGCCTGGGCCTTGCTTGCCAATGCCAATGCAGTCTATCATATATATAGTCAAGTTTGCTACATCACGTCAAACTTGATCTTTTCTGTGTTTTTGTCTCATGTCTGACGGTAAACATAAGAACCAGACATAGAAGTCCTGCTCTTACTTTTTCACTGTAGATATGTTCTTAATTGCATCATCAATTACTTGTTTAGAAGTCCCTTCAGTATTTATGCATTATGCATTTACAGGTTATTCAGCTTTGTTCAACTGAGGCTTTATGAACCAAGATTATTCCAGAGGTGTCTGGTGTCAGGGCAGGACTATTTCAGTGACATACAACATGCCCTCTCTGGCTCAAAGGTCAAAGGTAACACATTAACTCCTTCTCTTGAAGAATGTTATCACCCAGATGTTTAAAATCCAACATGAGACAAGTGAATAGGGACTATTCTGCTACATAAAAGCAAGTGCCACATCATATGAAAGTTGACATTGCAATATCAAGCAATGTATTTTCCTGTAGATAAACTAAACACTTGACACCTGACAGTGAAACAGCACAGACAAAAACTAAATATAAATGAGCTTCTTGACTTTAGAAACAGCATTTGACAAAAACTTCTCACCCATGTTGACTTAAAAGTTCAGACTGAAATGAATATCGAATATATGTTGAAATGCAAATTTTAATATTTATCTCTCCATGATAATCATATGTTCCAGCTCCAGAGTCTGATTTTGGTCAACTAAATGTACATGGGTTCAAGAGACTTACAGTATCAGTGGATTAGTCACTCTGTAGAGGCTAAATCAGTAGCATTAAATACAGTAACGTTGTTAAAAGACATGTTTCTCATACAACACTACGGGATACCATTCATTCATAAAACGACAGATAAAGAGTACTGTCTCCTTCAGTGTTCAGGCAGGTAAAACCTGTCAAATACACTAAACAGCAACGCTCAAGCATGTAATTCACTAATGCTTTGATATTGTTTTAGGTTGAACACATAATCCAATTAGGGCCTTCAGGTAAAACACTCTTAATTTGGTCAAAGTGTTTGTGTTAGATCATTTCATTTGTGAGTAAATCAATCACACTGAGAAATCCGGCTGCATATAACTACAGCAATTGCAATGTGTTTGTACAAACAGTTAAATTTTACCTCATTATTTCAGGTGGGTCAGGTATACTGAAACACTGAATTATACTCATCACAATGAATGAATTACTGAAATAAATGTACACCTTTTAATCTGTCAATGTATTGATTCTTTCTGCTTTGAACAGTTTTGCATGAACAACAAGGGCTTCATGGGTGTTCATAAAAAAACAAGGCTCCACAAAAAGTGGAACTTGTAAAACAGTATGTTTGCTGCAAGAACCTGGTTTATATTAACCCTTATATATCTGAAGACAGGTATATGAACTGTATATGGAATGCATACTGGTCTGATAAGAATCACTGACAATGTGGTACCATATACCTACAATAGTGTCCTTTCCACTGAAGAGCCCCTGGGAACATGGCATCTGTTACCTTCAGTGAGTTTCTATGAATATAGTAAGAACAGTGTTAACTGTCTCCACCTTGCACACAGGTATCCACAGGTGTGTAAAACATCCAAAAACATATAAACTTATCAACAAAAAAAAAAACATTTTTCTTGTGTCTGGTTAAAATCCAGATCATTTTTGAACATTTTATTGTAAAAAAAAAAAAAAAACACAAAAAAACATTAACTTGAATTAATTGTCATGTTAAATCAGTTGGAGTTCAGTCGCTGTTGAAACAAGACAACAATCAAACACACAGCGTCGCACACAAAGCCTGTCGCTTGAGACTGATATAGCCCGGCTGCAGGAGCTGTGGGAACCTCACTGCAGACTGCTCTCCACCTGTGCACGCAGGTCATTATCGAGCGGGCGCGTTTGCTCTTTAAATGAGCGCTTTCGTCCAATCAGCAAATTGTATTGTTGGCGACATAATAACGTGAAACACCAACAACTGCGTGTGTTTTCAGTACAATAAGTGATAAAGGGACAAGAGAGGAGGCTGCCTTCATGGAGTTTAAACAATCTGCAGTGCTTTTGTGGAGGGGAATATTATTATACATCTCTTTGTATATCACACAATTAAATATAGGCTGTCGTTTGAATAGTCATCAACAACTGTTTTGCATCTGGGTTTTTATAATATTTTTAACACAGTTTTCAGCTTAAGAATAATGTTTTTTTGTCCGATTGAGTTTAGGTGGAATCTGCTGTATTTAAATGTGGTCGTTTCCCCAACAGCTGCTATACTGAAACCTTGAATTAAAATCTAATTAACATCAGCAACATTTGGTTTCCTACTCAAATAATGTTAGTTCTAGCTGAGCCTAAAATACTATATGCACCCCCAGTATGAAGCTGTGGACATATTTTGATCAATGGGGTATGTGGATACAAATATTGACCATATTCATGTCGCTCATCATTATTTAAAAAACAAAAATGCCAACGATTGGAACAGATTATTAAATTAAGATGAATTTATTTCAGTTTCTTAAAGTAAATCCTGCATATTATGTCTGATTGCATATATTCTATAGATGTATTCAAGCTAAAGTATTGGACAAAATAAAAACGATTAATTTGGTGTGCCGGAAAATGTATCCTCCATCATTTCAGGTTGTGACGTCTTCCTAAATATTTCTTTTATGTTTGATACCCCTGATGACGAGCCAGAGGTGTCAGTTAACGCCCCCTAGCGGCTTGAATGTCGTCTCTTCCGAGGTGTTGTCAGCCTGCAGCATCACCGGTGCAACATCACACACAGAGACATCACACGGGGTCTGTATGTGCAATTTTACTGCAGGCACTCTTATCCGCTGAGACATGTGGAAGCCGAACCTGCCTCTCACATGGTGTAACGTAAATAAATCAGAGACGGAAATAATTGTTATAAACGTGTTGACCCAAGTGCAAGATGGACTTTCGATGTTTAAATGCTTTGATGTTTTTTTTTTTTATGAATTTGTCTGTCAGATATCCCCAAAATGACACACACAGAGCTGCATTTGACAGCATCTCATATTGTTTTCCCCACATACACCTTAATCAAAATGATATTGTACTGACTGCACCCTGAATGTGATCTCTGGTGGTGCCCGGACGCCTCTTTCACAACCTCTTTAAACTGCCTCTTAGAGTGGATATGAGAATATTAAATACCTCCTTAGTTTATACATTGAGAGTCGAATTATGAGGAAAATATAATGACAGAAATTAAAACTCATCGCAGAGCCAACAACTTCTATATTTATGTCTCTCTTTTTTATTTCTAGTGTATTATGTGTTTCGATTAGAAGAATAATCAACAGAAAATAGCCAATAATGTGCGTTAATGGGACAAACAAGGTTAGTCTGGCAATAAAACGAATTCCATAATACAACATGATACTGTAGACATTACATGCATTACTATGCTGCTATTATTATTTCCAATAATAGGATGATCAAATAATAATAGCTCAGTAATAATAATGAATGAAATGCCACGGTGACATTGGAGAAGCCT